AAAACAAACCTCCGTCGAGGTCCACGCTCCAACACCAGCAAAGGATTAGCCGGTCTCCCTCTGACACAAACGTTTTCGCTCATAGTTGATCAAACATTTTTCACCCCTGAGAAATCCGCTCGACATACTTTAGTAGATGTAGGGGTTGGACATGCCCCTAGCATCACAAGTCCCATGCTTGGCTCACAAAGAACCAAACGGTGTTACTTCAGCAACTTCCAATAGTAACCCAATGCCTTCCTGAAGGCATTCAACGGCATTCAAAGCCTTCCAAAACCTTTGGAATCCTACTAGAAGGTCCAACAAATATTTAGACTTAAATCAATGAAAATGTTTGTTTTGAATGATGATCAAGAAGTTAACACGAGGATCACCACCGTTGTTTTTTCTCTTTTAGATATTTCTTATCAACCATTCTTAATAAATAAATTAAAAATTAAAAAAAAAGTTAACAAAGACAAACTCTCAATTTCTAAGCAACAATATAGCTCAACGTAAATGTTTTCATTATTTTTTTTAATCAGCAACAAGAAGAATAATATATTAGAAGAGAAAAAAAGTATGACGAAGACAAGTGGTCCTCAAAGGAAACAACAAAAGGAAAAGAGAAAACAAAAGGTCAAACAGTCACAATCTATGTATATCACAAACAACCCTCTAATCATTAGAAAAAGAAAAAAAAAACATATATTGTTATTAACTTCTTACAACTAAAGTAATAAAAACACTCACCTCAATAGGAGTAAACAAACACAAATCTCCATTTTTTTCTTTTCAAAAATCTCACTTGATGCCTTCAAAAGATTTATTCAGTTTATAAGTGCAAACACTTGGATAAAGTTGAATATGTGAGCCTAGAATATTGAAGGTTATTTTTTTTTCCCCTCTCTTAGGATTTAAGTCTTCGAGAGTAAATATAGAGAGAGAAAACCAAAAGATGGCGTATAGTAAAACAATCTCAATTCAAACAATAAAAAAGCAAAAAAGAAGGCTAAAATTCAATTTTAGCGAAAATTGATTGATTCACAATTCACCCTCAATTCACAACCTATGAAGCATGGACACTTCAAAATTGGTGCCGTGGCAGTGTCCGACACGCGGACACTCTGGAGACACGGGGACACGTCAGGGACACGCGTGTCCATATCTGGACACGCCATGGGACACGGCGGGGCTGTTTTTTGAATTTTTTATATTTATTTGGGGTCAAAGTATAATATTTAGAAAGTTAAAAAAAAAAAAAAAAACAACAACAACAACAACATTCAAAGCCCTAATCGAACAACTGAGGGAGTAAAGGAGTAAAATCAGACCTGCGAAGACCTTGTCTCTCTCAGTCGAAGCCCTCTCAAGTCAATCGAACCTCTCTCTCTCAATCGCAACCCTCCGATGTCCATCGAGGCCCTCCAAAGTCCGTTGAAGACCTCCGATCCAGTCGTCTCAATCTCTATTTCAGTCCATCCAGTCGTCTTCGACCTTCGATCCAGTCGTCTTCGAAGGTAAGCCTCTGTCGTCTCTTTCTCTTTCGCCTTTGTCTCTCTTTCTCTTTCGCTCTCTCTCTCTTTGCTCTGGTTTCGACTCAGATTGAGTCTGATTTTTATTTTTATTTTTATTTTTTTTATACGTTTATATATATAATATATATATATATTTATATGTAAGATTTTTTTTTATTTTGATTTTTATTTGTTTATACGTTTATATATATATATATATATGTGTGTGTGTGTAGACTTTTTTTTTTTTTTTTGTTTTTATTTTTATTTTTTATTTTTATTTTTATTTTTATTTTTTTTTTGTATGTGGAAACATGGTGATCGGGGTGACCCCCGACATGAATAAAATGAGTTTGGGTGTGCAGTTCTTCTTCTGCGTCTTTTTTTTTTTTTTTTTTTTTTTTTTTG